AAACACACCCCAAGGGGGGGGAGCTCTCAAACACTTCTCTAGAGCTCCCTTCCCTTCTCTCCCTCAAATTCTCTTAGTTTCTCTTTCTAGTTTTCAATTGTTGTAATGAAATCTTTGTGCTGAAATTCTCCTTAAGTTTTTCTTAGTTCCACTTTACTTTTTATTGTTATGTAAATTCTTTTCTTTAGTTTCAAGTTTTATTAGTTTCCAAGTTTCAATTATGGTTTTTGTTCTTATTCATTATGTTTATAAGTTAATATGCTAGTTTGAATGATTGATCCCCATTTAGGCTTGCATGTTAGCTATCTTGGTTTGAATTAAGAGTAGACACCATGCTTTAATTCGAATTGAACTATGAATAAGAAGAGTATGTATGGACATTCGACAACAGGGATTAGATACATACTTGGTTGTTTAAAATGTTCTTCTATGCTTAATGGATTCATAATGCTTAGTTTAGGTTAGATAACAGATGATCAAATTAGGGAATTTGGAATACAAGGTTAGGACCAGACACCATGGCTTAATCATACTTTAGCTAGAATCAATCCGTTAATCTAATTGAACTTGGGAACTTATCTGCTTGAGTTATTTTCTTTTCTTTCTTTCTTGTTTTATTTATTTTCTTTCTTATTTTTCTGTTTTGTGTAGGAAAACTGAGTTGGATTATTCAATCACCAATCCTTGTGGAATCGACCTCGCACTTACATATGCTATACTACCGAACGACTCGTGCACTTGTGAGTATCACAAGTTGAGGATGCAGTTGAATCCATTTTGGTACAGCTGAATCGACGCAACACTCACAGGATTTGGCCATTAAATGGCCACAACTAATTCTGTCTTGAAAATCCTTCCAATATTAATGTCTTTCGGAGCTCTAGGCATGAACTGCCCCAAATGTCATTGGGATTGTGAAAACTCACCCCTTGATATAAGGTGCAATGAATCTTGGTAGGTTGACACTTAATCCTTCCTTTCTTTAAACTCCACCACTTGCAGGGAAACTTTTGCTGGAGCTCCTAAGCATACTTCTTGAGTCGGGTTACTTTGGCATTCTTAAATTGAGGAACATTTCTTACAACCGAGGATTTTTTATGCAACCAGGGATCTCTGGCTCAACTAAGGATTTTTCCTTAACACATATATATACATATGATAGCCTTTGGTTGGCCAAAATAATTCAAACCGTGGGTGGGTCTAATCATGACATATATATATATATATAAAGTGAATCTAATCATGCAAATACTAAAGCAAAGCTTTAGCCCATCTTCCCGTCACTTTTTCCCCATCATATGCACATATTATATCCTTAGTTTTATATTGAAAAGGTTTGATCAAGTTGCAACTTGCAACCCTTCACCTTGTTTAGCATCTTTTCTCTTCTTTTGCAGAGAATTCCCACGCCCCTTTCATCAATTGCATCTGCTCAACTCCAACTTTTGTGCATGAGCTCCTTCATCTAACCATAGCCAATTAATCCATCAACAGTATTTCTGGATATAAAGGCAACCCATTGAGTGCATTTATATAAATGCATTAGTTGAGGCTAACAAACAATTCTATCAGATGCAACTTGATCTGATGTGCCTTCTGCATGAATAGATATGAATAAATATATTGGTGCACCATATTGTTGAAGCTCAATTATGTATTGTTGAAAGGGGCACCAATATGTATTTATTCATATCCGATGTACAACAATTAAATAGATGCATTTATATTGTTGAAAGCATTCTTATGGGTTGTAATTAATTGATGTGAATTTTCAACCACACTCAAACATTGCCCCCTTGATTTCTTAGCTTTTAGTTGACAAAAGGGAAAAGGAATCGAAAGTCAGGAATTAGATGTTGGTCTTCATGGATTTATGCCAATCTCGGGCATGTCTTTATCTTGAATTGAGTTAGATTCTAGGGAGGCACTACCCTTCAATCTTGAAAGAACTCTTTAGCTCCTAACTTTAGGAAACCCAAGGTATTATACATACTGGTTTGCCTTCAAACATTTAAT